TGTGTGTGTGTGTGTGTGTGTGTGTGTTACTTTTCCCTCAGGTTCTGAGATCATAAATAAGCTACACCATTCTTCTATATAATAAACCGCTCATTTGTCTCTGGACAAACGTGATCACTAGAAGTTTCCACAGTAGAATTCAGTCGGAGAAGGCAGAGCGAGATTTGACAGAGCCGCCTTGCTCCATCAAATCTCTACTTTCGAATTCTTTGATTTCTCTCTATTCTCTTCTTATCCTCTCGGCTCTATAGAATCTGTAACAGCTGATGAGTCAGTCATCATCATGGGCCAGGAAATCTTCATAGTCACTAACACTTCTTTCCAACTAAGCCTTCTTTAAACATATAGTGCATCATGCAGCATTATGCATGAGTGTCACCACAGTATTTAGGTTTACAGCCATATGAGTACTTCACACATATGTGGTGTCCTAACCTCCACTCTGGGACATAATTTGGAGATTGAAGTTTAAAGCTGAACTAATTTTTTACATTTTTTGGTCTCCAGTGCAGTGTAGAAGTGGCGTACGCACAAATTCGTGTCTGAAAGATGCAACAGTTATAACTGAGGCCCCAGAGCTTTAGCTTGCCAGGAAGCATGGACTGATTGGTGTTCTTTAGGCTGCTGCTGACATCCTGCTTCATTTGCTCGACCGGCTTCCATCATAGAATCTTCCAAGGCTTTTTAAAGGTTTCTCAGACACCGATGGAATGGTGATCTGATTTGTACCTTAAGATGCTTCTTGATGTTGATGGGTTGTTCCTCATTCTGGCCCATGTGATGTTTTCCTTAGGTTTCGCTAGCAACTGTCGGGTGCATGGTGCTGTTGTGGTCAGGGTTGTCATGTCGTCCATGTAAGCCCTAATTGGCGCTCATAATCTACTACCAATTTTGAAGCTCTGATAATTTCTAGTATGTTCTAAACATCCCAGAGAACCCTGGAATTCCAGCTTGTTTTTCACCACATAGCTTGTCAGCCTTTAGGGCTATGACACTAAAGTAGATCTTGCCTTCTACAATGAGGGGACTGATGGGCAATTTTGGCCTGATGTTTGAAGATAATTTGCCTCACCCATGCTACTCTATATATTATGTTATTAATGATGGCATCAGCAGTAATAATAATAGCTTAATAGTTTCAGATCTGGTTTCAGTGAGAGAAAGATCAGCATGAAATTATAATGTTAAATTATTTAAAGATTACATAGTTGCTACTTCTATCATGTGACTGATGAATGACAGCCAAATGTGATGAGATAATTTTATGCCCTTGCCTTTGTCCCTTTTGCCTTAAAAACTACATTCAGTGAGTTGAGAAGAGACTTAGTTTTGAGAATGTGCATGAAACAATAATAAGAAAATTAGTTAAATTTGTATAGATATGGTATATCACTTATACTTAGTTTTCTTTACTGCTTCTTTCTTTTGTCACCAGAGAAAGTCAAGACGGTATTACCCCACCAGACTGGCCATCACTCTGGCTGCAGGGGTCACTACCAGCACCTCCTCCTGCTCTAACTTCACTTCCACTCCTGGTACTGGAGATGCAGGCTTCATTGTGGTGGAAACAAATTATCGTATCTATGCTTACACAAGTATGTCAGAACACTGGGAGCTTTTTATGTTGCATGCAAACACTAATAAATAAGCAATCTTTTGTCTATGACAATGAACTTCATCTTGGATCCAAATCACTAAATGTTGAATTATCCTTTGATTTATTTTTTTATTTTTCACAAAAACGTTCCTTTCTGTCATCAACAAGCATGCACCTTTTAAATTTCATGGTGAAAAATATTGCATGGTTCTTCCTGAACTGTGAACAGTATTTCTGCAGAAAAACAAAGCTTTATAACTTGTTAGTGACAATATAGAGGAATCCAACTGGGTTTTATTGAGAAAAATAGAATGCATGTGTCAAAAAACTAAATGTGAATATAACATGAACTTGGTCTCCCCCTCTTATTCAAACTTTGATATATTCTCCTTAAATAGACACTTTGCAGTTGTGCTTGGCAGTATATTTGTTCATTCGCTATAAATTTCGAATAAACTTTAAATGCCCTCATTTACAGGGAAAAGACCACTCTTCAGAAGTTAGATGAAGTTCTGATTCCCCAGATGAAGCTAGATCAATAGGCCGTTTAACTGATGGTGACACCACATCTATAATGCTAGCCAGGTCATCTTTGTCATCCCAGTTAATGGTTCTCTTCATAGTTGATACTCATAACAAAGAAACACGAAAGAGAAGGCACATTTTTCCTAGCATCAATGATAATTTGCCCCATAGCACTTGCTACAAATTTTTCGAAATATATTGTAACTAGACTCAAAATAGTCAGTTATTTAATACATTTATCACCATGGGTGGCTGTGACTGAGGGGTAGGGTGGTCAAACCTCCAACCAGAGGGTCGGCAGTAGTGTCCTTGGGCAAGATGCTGAACCCCGAATTGCCCCTCATAGAACAAAGAGTGCTGCAAACTGTAGTGTAAAGCGTATGCAGTGTCATTGGGCTAAACACTGAACCCTAAATTACCCCTAATGGCTGTGCCAGCAGTGTATAAATGGTGTATTATAGAAAAAAGAGCTGTGTATAAAACTGTTGTATGCAAGTGTGTGTTAATGGGTGAATGGTACTTGTACTGTTAAGCGCTTTGGTAAGTTGATGAGACTAGGAAAGCTGGAGATAAAGTGTCATTCATTTGCAGGCAACATGAAGTTGTAGGCAGTATACATTTACAAATTATTTGAAGTTAACATTTAATTAAACTAATGTTAACTGTTGTAAATGTAAATGTTAACATTGAAATAACTTAAACTTAGTAACAGTTCCTGAGTTTTCAGTTTTCAAATGTTGTGGTTTCAGCAGTGCTTCTAATTTGCATACATGCCATTGACTAGAAACTGTTGTAAGGGTTAGGATTAGGCAAGCTGTAACTTTGGTTATGGTTAGTTTAAATCTCCAGGAAATCAATGTAGGTCAATGTCCTCCGAAATCATGGAGACTCAAGTGTGTGTGTGTTTGCGTGCGTGTGTGTGCACATGCATTACTGTTTTAGAAAGTAGAAACCATGTCCACCACCTACATGTGCATGATTCATACAACACAACACTGTGCTCCTTCATGCAGAATCATAAGGGTGCTGCATCATGTGTTTGTAGGGCAGGGCATCTGCTCCTCCCCTGATACGCATAAAGGTGCAACTTACCTTATTATACAACTACTACTCAGTAAGATGATATAACAAAAAAATGGGCGTAATGTGAAATCTTAAAATATGCAGCCATTACTCAACAGGCTGCACTTGTACCAGTGGTTTTCGGTGGGGTTATCCTGGTTTGTTCTTCTTAAATCACAGCTGAGATTGTTTATATTGTGCTAGTGGTCTCTGTTTCAGAATCCTCATTAAAATGGTTCACATTGTAGCTTTTGAAAAGATGCATAACTGGGCATGATTTTAGAGAATTCAAATTGATTTGTCTGTGTTTTCTTTTGTCCTTTCTAGACTCCGAACTTCAGATCGCTTTGGTGGCTCTCTTTAGTGAAATGCTTTATCACTTCCCTAATGTCGTTGTGGCTCAAGTTACAAGGGAGTCAGTACAACAGGCCATCGCCAATGGTATCACTGCACAGCAGGTACACTGTTTTAATACAAGGGAGCTTTTGGGTGTGGATGGTTAGCTCAAGGCAGATCTAAAAAAATGGGTTGTAGGTTGAGCTAATCAAAGGGTCTTTGTGAGAACCAATGGGGATTAAAATTTAGGATGGCCTGGGTCCTCATTTATAACCATTGCATATGAATATTTCAGACCCCATTTAGTATGTGTTATTTGTGCTAAAATAACTATTACAGAACTGAGGGAATAACAGTTTTTTAATTGTATCTTCTATAACACAGTGCCTTTAGCGTTCATATACAGTGTCAAATTGCTGCAGTTAACATGACTTTGCTAACTGATGGGGGATTAATAATAGTATGTATTCAACACAATTATCTTCTTAAATTAAATTTAGAAAATTATTAGAACAAATCTATGATCCTTACTGTCTTCCCACTACATCTATAAGATCATTTCCACAGAGGGTTCAATCATTCATGTGCAATAAAATGGATACAAATGTTTTTCGATGATTAAAAAGAGCTGGTTTTATTTAAAAAAGACACTTACCTATCAGGCATGAAAATCACTCACCTTCGAACCGAAATTCACTGTTTTGAATCCAAAATAGGTGACCTACGTGAAATGTGTAGAGCCGTAGAAAAAAAAGATTTGGAGGGGGGGGGGGTATGTGTGCTTTTGCGTGACTGAAGTAAAAGTGTAGCTATCTACCATAAGAAATCGTTTTCATTTTAGTTTACCATGGTAGCAGAGGATAGTTAGCAACTACAGAGTCCCGCCGAGCTTCGAAGGGAAGTCGTTTGAAAGCTGGAATGAAGTCGCTATTTGGACCAGAGTTACAGAGTTGGAAAAGAGCAAGCAAGCGTTTGCTGTTGTTTTGGCGCTGTCGGGGAGAGCGCGAGAGACGGCGATGGAAATACCGGTAGATGACTTGGATAAAGACTCCGGTATGGTCACGCTGCTTGCAAAACTCGACAACTTGTTTCTTAAGGAATAAAAAGACCTAATCTATGAAGCCTACTCAAAGTTTGACAAGATTACGAAAGACAGCAGTGTCAATGACAGATTATATAATTGATTTTGAACAACACTATTCCAAGATGGAGCTTCCCGATGCAGTGCTAGCTTTTAAACAGCTGGACACTGCATGACTGGACATGAAAGACCGACAGCTAGCTCTGACAGCATGCACGGTTCTTACATTTGCATCAATGAAGTCGGCATTAAAGAGGATATTTGGAGGAAAAGTTTCTACATCCTGCATGGGGATAAACCAAGAAAATACCTGCAAAGATTGGACAAATCAACTGTCACATTGAAACAGATGTAGTCCCAGCCAACATACCACTGCTTCTGAGCAAAGCCTCCGAGAGAGCTGGGACAGTTCTGGACATGGAAAATGACAAAGCAGTGATGTTCAACAAACCTGTAAAACTTTACTTCACAAGCTCTGGTCATTACTGTGTGAACATCATGGACAACAAACAAAAGGGACTGGAAGAAAGTCAGTGTGAGAATGAAATACTGATCAACTCAGGAAATGAGCTCAGCGCAAAACACAAGATCTTGTTGAAACTTCACAAACAATTTGGTCATGCATCTGCAGAGAAACTACAGAGACTCCTAAAGAGTTCAGGTAACAAAGACACAGAATGCAACAGTCTTCTAAACAAAATTGTGGGTGAAGGTGAAATATGGCAAAGATACAGTAAAACTCCACCAAGGCCTGCTGTTGGTCTACCACTAGCATCTCAGTACAATGAGACTGAAGTTGTAGATCTCCATGAACTTGAACCAGGTGTGTGGTATTTACACGTCATTGACGAGTTTACACGGTTCAGTGAAGGCAGTGTTCTGACTACAAAGAAATCATCTGAGATAGTGAAACACTTTGTCCATGACTGGATAAGTGTGCATGGACCACCTTTCCGGTGATAATGGAGCAGAGTTTAACAATGACGAGGTGCGAGACATGGCAGAAAACTTTAATATAGAAATAAAGATGACAGCTGGTTACAGCCCATGGAGCAACGGGCTTTTGGAGTGACACAACCAAACACTTTCAGAGATCAGAATGAAGGTAAAGTCGAGCTATGACTGTGACTGGAGCACAGCAATGTACTGGGCTCGTATGGCTAAAAACACAATGCAAAGTGTCCATGGCTAAAGTCCTCATCAGTTAGTCTTCGGACAAAATCCCAACTTGCCGTCCATACTAACTGCTAAACCCCCAGCTTTAGAGGGCACAACAAAATGTGAGTGGGTGGCAAAACATATCTCTGCCTTACATGCATCAAGAAAGGAATTTACAGAAGCAGAATGTTCAGAGAGAATACGGAGAGCACTGCGGAAACAAATTCGTCATATAGATGAAAAATATGAAACTGGAGACAAAGTCTATTACAAGTGAGTGGACTGTCAAGAATGGAAAGGACCAGGAGTTGTAATTGGTCAAGATGGTGGGGTGGTGTTTGTCAGACACGGTGGAACCTGCATTAGGGTTCATCGCCTCAGACTAAAAAAAAAAGGACAGAAAATATGGCTCAAAATGTCACAAGAGGTGATTATGAAGATGACACAAATCATGAGCGAGGACAGAACACTGTAGTCAATAACACAATAGACACTGAGAACACTGTACCTGAAGTGCAACAAAGTATGAGTCAAGTGGAGCCAGCAGCATTGCCCACTAGGATGCAGAAAGAACCAGAACACCTCACAAGTAACACTACAAGGGCAAAAAAATCCTGTTGAGAGGGAAATAGAGGCCAATCTGAAAATGGGACAAATTGTGACATACAGAGACAAAGATGGAGGGACCCTACACACAGTGAATGTGTTAGGCCGGGCAGGAAAAGCTAAAGTTAAATACAGAAACTGGTTTAATTTACAATTTATTGAACCAACTGGTGTTGCAGGCACCACAGACGCGGTTGACATGTCAGGTGTGGAGGATCTCCAGGTGGAAATGAACATGACTGACACAAATACTACAGATGAGCATTAGGATGTATTTGTAACAAAAGATGTATCATTTCACTTGGCAAAACATGAGGAGATAAAGAAGTGGACTGACAACAATGTGTTTGAAGAAGTCAAGGATGAGGGACAAAAATGTGGGACAAATGTTTGATGCCAGCAACCTGGCATCAGGCCTACAAGATGCAGAACTGTTCAGACTATTCATGAAGCAAACAGAATAATATGCAAACTAAAGTCGAAGAAGGTGGTTCTGAACTTTCAACAACTAGGCAGTGACAGTGGCTTAAAGATGATTGTGTACAGTGAAGCCTCATTTGGAAATCTGTCTGATGGAGGCACACAAGGAGGACACCTTATTCTCCTCATGGGAACTTTTCACCTCTTTCTTGGCAGTCAAAGAGAGTCAAGAGGATTGTGCAAAGTACTCTTGCAGGTCATTGGCAATGTCAGATGGGATTGATAATGCCATCTTTCTGTCGACACTCTTCTCAGAACTTACTACTGGAGATGTTAAAAACACTGTACCAATAATCTGCATCACAGACAATCATTCCCTGGCTGACGCACTTAAGTCCAAAAAGTCAGTCACAGAGAAAAGACTTTGGCTAGAAATGAGCAGCATCAAAGAACTCATTCAAGCCCAAAAGGTTCAGCAGATCCTTTGGTGCAACACGGAAGAGCAGCTTGCAGACTGTCTCACAAAAAAGGGAGCTTCGGCTCTTAAGCTACTCAAGGTGCTAAATGATGGACAGTATAAATTGAGATGAAGAACAAAACTTATGAGTTCTCGTTAAAAGTGCACATATGTAATGTGTATATATACTGTATGTGTACATGAATATGTTATAAGTTAGGACTGCACTATTCATATACATCTTTTGTGTATGTATGCATAAATATGTTATTGGTTATTATTACTGCCATATTCATATACATCTTTTGTGTATGTATGCATAAATATGTTATTGGTTATTATTACTGCCATATTCATATACATGTTTTGTTAAAAAAACAACAACAAAAAGCAGTGAGTTTGTTAAAGGAGAAGTTAGTTTTTTTTAAAACCTGGTCCTTATTTCCTGCATATGGTATGTAGATCTACTCACCCATAAAGTTTTGGAGTAACTTGGAGTCCTTCGGACGCTTTTAGATCCACACGCGATCTGTGTATATCCGTACAACGCAAGTGATTGGGGCATCCACAATACAGCCTCTAAATAACGTATTATCTGCCGCGAAACTCTTTATTTAGTATGAATCGCCAGCACTAGTCCCCCGTGAGTCCAAGTTGCTTTGTTTACATTCCGGGCTTTCACTGGGGTGACGTCACCGAGGCGCGCAGCCGCAGCTCAGCTGACGATCATCTGTGTTTGTTTTTTACACAGAGTTTGCTGCTGCTAGTTTTTACGCAACATGGCAGAATACTTATCAGGTGCTTTACAGTACAGTATTTTTTTTTAAGCAGCTGTGTCCTGATGCTCGGGCGTATTCACCCGGTTAAAGGCTAGCTAACTTCAGCGGGCTAACGAGCAGCCTCGCAGCTAGCGTTAGCTTAGTGAACCGAGAGCGAGTTGTCTTCCTGTTTAATCAACAAACCAGGATTGTGTCACAACCATGATATGTCAACACCATCTTCCAATTTCTGAGGGAACTTTTTAGAATGTTTAGATCATTTTATTCTCCTGAAGGTTCTGTTAGCATCAAGCTGAAAACAAAATGGCTGCTACCTGAACTATATTTGTTTTGTAAACAAAATGCCTATTATGTCAACACTGTGAGATTTTCTGTCTGTGGCATCAAAATTCTCTGATTTTTTTATTGCTTTATGAATTGATAGTTATGAACTCTATCAGGGTTTAGCTGAGGGAACCTAAGGGGTACACACACATAATGGGGAAGGTACATACCGATAGATACACTGCCTCTCTAGCCAGAATTAAAAGAATTTCTAAGACTGGTTGGTCATTTGTGAAAATTTAATCAGTCCCCCAACACAAGAATGTGTTTTTAAATCTTAAAATATTTTGA